AAAACATTTCAAACCTTTTGAAAACGTTTTGATGGTCATTTCATTGTGTTCAGCTTAACTAGCATAATTAAATTTCCTTCACATTGAATTCTCTCTGAAATCAAATTGAGAAACATTTTTTAGTTCCACCATACAGATAACTTGGTTTGGTTGACTTGGTGCTACACCCGTCTGAAACAGCATATGGGAGATCAATATCCATGGCTTGTCTTTGCAGGCAGTAGAGAGAAATGACTTGCTGTGGATTCAGAGAATATTGCTCTCTGCTTGGATCCTTCTTAACAGTTGATTATTGGTTTTGCAGCTCTTGTGTCACTGTTGCAGTTACAATGATGTTAAAACATCATAAAGATGGGGGATATCTGAGGGTGTGGGTTACCTTCAGAAACTGCAAGGTACCAGATTTAGAAGTGTTGAAGATGAAGCATGTCTCTTTTCAGTGGTCATAGGCCATAAAATGCAGCCCTGAAAAAATCTCAGATGCCTGCATTGTCCTCCAGCATCACACCTCCTTGCCTGCTTGTTTTATAGGATGAGAGGTAATTGCCCTAAGTTGTGCCAGAGGAGGGTCAGGTTGAATGTTAGGTACAATTTCTTCTCCCAGGAGCGGTGCTGCAGTGGCACAGCTGACCATGGAAATGGCAAGGTCACTGTCCCTGGGGGGGACATAGTTCCAGAACTATGGGGTTGTGGCATTTGGGGACAAGGTCGGTGGGATGAGTTGGGGTTGGGCTTGAGGATCTTGGAGGTCTTTTCCAACCTTAATCATTCTGTGATTCTAAAACCAGAGATCCCTGAGGACGTGGTCAGGTTTTCGTTGGGATTTTGTCTGGGGCAGGACTTGCAGTACACATTCCATGGGACACAAAATCCCCAGGTATTTCCCTGCCCTGCTTCCCGTGTCCCCAGGAAGGCAAAGCCCCAGATTTGAAGCCCCAGGAGGATCCACCCCTTGCTGCCTACTCTCAGCCACAGCTCTCGGATGGAGGGGATGCACACATAAATCTCACTTTTCTGGCAGCTTTACTCAGCAGTGGTAATGGCACTGGAGAAGCCGCTGCCATTTGCTAGCAGTTGCTATATATTCATTTTTAATGACTGGAGTTAAATTTCACAATACTTCAGTCTTTATAAACTGAAGTTTTTAAAAAAATGCTTCTCAACTGCAGTGCTTCCAAGTATTTGCCAGGATTTATTGCTATTCGTAATGCACAGGCTGGCTGGGCTCCTCTCTTCTGAGGGCAAAAATGGAAAATAAGAGTTATTGTTGCAGAACATAGGAATATTTTTGCAGGGGAACTATCAGTAGAATCAGAGTAACAGTACTCAGGAAAAAAAATGAGCTTAATCCAGAAGCTGCGCTGCTCCCAAGGAGCACAAAACACAGTCAGAAATCAAAGTGAAAAATCCCTGCTTGTTTTCAAGCAGATGGGTTTGAGTGTTCTGCCTTCCTGCTATGGTCAGTTGGCATTTCTCTGCTTGTGTGGGTCTGCAGTCTCTCGCTCATGAGGCTGTTTGCACAGGGAACCGTCAGTGCCTTCTGGCGATGGCTTTGGCCTTTGGAGTGCTCAGAACTGGTGCTGTGGGCTTGGGGCTCCCAGGCAAGGCTGTGGGCAGGAGCATCACTATTGGGCCATAGCAAAACTAGAAGGAGACTACTGCTGAATTTTGCAATTTCCTCTATCAAGCATGATTGGTTGTCGTAGTGGATTTTTTTTTCATTTATATTTGCCTGAATGGTAAGTTATATCCCAGTTTCTGGGCCAATGGAGGTGTGGCAATAACCAGCAGTGATGCTCCTGTGAATCCTTCTGCTGTGTGTAGCCACGGAACAGCTATCAGAGTGCAAGCTGTGCCTGTGGGCTTTTGATGTGTGAGCCTCACAGCACCGTTCTGCTCTTCTACTGTGCAAATGACCTCTGAAAGCCAAGGGGTTACTGTGAAAAATCATGCAGCAAAGAATTCCAAACAGGCTATAGAAGTTCTTGCTGTTGGTTCATCATCATCACAAACGTTTCTGCCTGTGAGCTCAGGTCCTGGGGTATTATTGTAAAAGGAGTGCCAGCCAATTGAAACAAGCTTGTTGCTTCTCTGGCTAGTAAGCAGAACATTCATCTTGTGTTACACATCAAGTGCAGAATGCATCTCCAAAGTAAATCCCAAGATCCACGTACTGTAAAGAAAAGAAAAATGAAGAAGCTTAAATACAAAATATGTAGCATATTGTGTTCTGTTCAGAATTCAGGAGAGGAATTGGGCATCTCAGCAGAGAAACAGGACAGCCCAGCAGGCTGGGAGCAGAAGGACAGAGGTGGGTGACATTACCGCTGTGGCTGCTAACAAAGAGCTGTGGCTCACTGCTCTGCTCTCCTTATCTCGGGGACCTAGCAAAATATTATGGCACATGCTTGATCTCAGGCTTGCAAACACCCTGATCAAAAGCCAGTGAGATATCCTGTGTATTTAAAGTAGAACATATAAAAATTTGTCTTCAGGGATTCTTACTTAGCACTCAGACCTGTGGGACCTCATGCACATCCAGTTATCTCCCGGTGCCTCCCCTGCCTACACACCCAGCACATTGCTTTGGGTGCTCAATTTTTGGGTTTCTAAGCAATGCCCCATTATGTGAGTGCACCCACCTCTGTTCTGAAGCAGCGTTTTTTTAACACTCCCTTGGTTTCACTGCAGGGCAATACTTCACTGTTTGAGGATGGAGTGTCCCTCTGTGCAGTCCAGTGCAGCTGTGGGATCTTGTTGTGCCTCTGTTAATGCCTTTGGAATCAGGAGATTTTCCTCTAAGTAAAAATTACATAAGGCAGTAACGAGTCTGTTTCAGAGCTCTTCTGATGTTTCTGTATAAAGCGTTGTTAGCCTCATGTGCACAAAAGGGATGAGTCTCCTTTTTTCACAGCTACGGCTTTCAATTATTGTTAATTGTCTATATTCTTCCATGGAATATATTCAGTATTAACTATAGTTAATAAATCAAGTTGTTCTTAGAATCAAAATGGCTACTTCCCTTCCTTCCATGATTAAAATGTTTCTCTTTCTGCAGGCAGGTTTCCTGGCTAATAACTTTATTTTATTAAAGTGCTCACTCCGTTTTTCTCTTCTGATAAATGCATGTCAAGGAAAAACATTTGCCTTCATGGTTCCTTTTCAAGAGCAAACTTAACAGTTCAAGGAAAGTATTTACGGAATGCATTGAAAAGCATATCTCTTTGCATTATTTATTATGAGATACCAATAACTGTAATATGCAGAGTATCTCTGGACATAAATTAGTGATGTTAGGATCCTCTTCGTGTCCTGGAACCGATTAGGGTTTGAAGCACAAGGGTGGGCACTAACCACCTCCCTGCACACGGGGCTCCAGACAAAGGCTTGGTGAAACGAGCATGGAGGCATGCATCCGTCCCAGCTACAGGCTGCTTTTTCAGCTCAATAAAACATTATCTGTGTTATTTGGGAGCTCGGTGATACAGAGGAACAAAGGGGAAGGAGAAACAGAAGACATGGTGGGGATGGGTTGGGGATGGACTTGATGATCTTAGGAGGTGTTTTTCCACCTTAATGTGATTCTCTGGTTCTGTGGTCAGCATAGCCTGTAAGTGTCCAGTGCAGCCAGGCTCACTGCAGTGCCATGCCCAGGCACACGGCAATGGGTGCAGTCCTTACTTCAGGAAGTTGCAGACATTTTTGGAGTCTGAACATTACTCTTCTCGTGTCACACATTGGAGCTGCAAATTTACTTAATGTGGCTGCTTTAAAGTCTGTCCACTTCCCAACTGATTCTCCTAATTGTGTCCCAGCACATTACCTAATCATGTCAACATATGGATTTTTTTTTATCTTGCTGCTTTGCGTAGACAGCCTTATCAGTCTATTTTTAAACCTGGATGTGCCGTGGCAGTGGTATTGGGTTCAGCACTTGATGTTCTCCCTGTGCTAATAAATACGGATCAGCTATTAATACGGATTTTTCTGAGACCCATTAGCATCATTTGGCACAGTGAGTGCCTGTCTGTCGGACAAGCGATGGTGTGGGTGCTCTGGCTGGCTGCAGCCTTTGTTCGGAGATAGGCATCCCAAGACAGGCATCTGGGAATGGGCACCCTGGAATGGGTACCCCAGGATGGGCACCTAGGGAAGGGGAACAAAGGAACGAGCAAGCCAGGACAGCACATGGGAATGGGCATCCCAAAATGGGGACCCTCAGATGGGCACCTCGGGACAAGCACCTCAGGGTTGCACAGCTGGGGACCACCAGAAGGGGACTGTGGACAGGGAGAGACAGGGAACAAGTGCACAGGGATGTGGGCAAGGCTGGGGCTGAAGCCTTAAGAAGGTGGGGAAACAGAACACGGTGTTACTAAGCAAGGTGTGACTGCATGTGGTCAGGTATGTAGTGCTGGTTTCAGCAATGCTTCCAAGCTCCGTGAAAAAATAATTGCTATTTAAGGCTCCACTGTTCAGCAGCAATGAAATAGGGTGCGTGATTGTACTGGCTGTGGTCCCACTGTGGCAGTGTGTGATGCCCAGGAGAGGGCAGGCCCCCTAGGAGTTGGGTGGTTCCTGCTCCTGCACGGACCTCAGGTTCTACCTTTGGCGTTATGCCTGTGGTCATTTTTTGTAAGCAGGCATTGAAATGTCAAAGCCAAGAAAGAACTGACAGTCCCAAAGTGTGGACAAAATATTCATTCCGAGTGCACTGACATCAGCTTCCAGTTGTACTCTCTGCATGTGGGTGTGTAGTAGCAATTACCCCAGTGGTATGCACTGTGGAATGGTGGCTGTGCAGGTTCCTTAAGGAATAGCAGCTGGGAGTTGTTCCGTGCTGTGGCACAAGGGAAGTACTGCAGAGCTGATCCTTCCCTTTGTGTGGTGCAGGAGGGCTGCAAGGCGCGCTCGGCTCCCTCGGTGTGGGTCAGGGCTGCTCTGGTGGGTGCACGCTGACCTTCTCTTTCTCTCTGTCTCTCACCTCTTCCTTCCCCAAGCATGCAAACGTAAAGAGCAGGAACCGAACAAAGAGAGAAACAACTCCCAGAAGAAATCCCGGCTGGTTTTCACTGACCTCCAGCGCCGAACGCTTTTTGCCATCTTCAAAGAGAACAAGCGCCCGTCCAAAGAAATGCAGATCACCATCTCCCAGCAGCTGGGCCTGGAGCTCACCACCGTCAGCAACTTCTTCATGAACGCCCGGCGGCGCAGCCTGGAGAAGTGGCAGGATGACCTGAGCACTGGGGGCTCCTCCTCAGCCCCCAGCACCTGTACCAAAGCATGACCGCGCAAGCCGCCAAGCGGCGCGAGCGCGGTGGGGCCCTTCACTGGTGACTTGAAAGCACAATCCTCCTGGATCGTCCTGGCCTGGCTGCAAGGAGAGGACACCGTACGGCTTTTAGTCAGTTGAGAAGGCGCAAGCGAAGAAGTAACCTCTTTTTCTGTAACACTACGCTCAGGACAGGCGAAGCAGGTCTGAAGGAAGAGCCGTTGGTGAGGCGAGTTCCGCGCCGGAACGGAGCACAAGGCTGACACCGAGATGCCAAGGAGGCCGAGAACCTGTTTTCGAATCTCAGGCATGGTTTTGTTGAGTGTTCTAGGGGAACAAAAGATCAACTCTATGTTTTTCTTTCTTTCTTTTTTTTTTCAAATTTACTTTTTATTTCTTTTGTTCAATCAGTGAGTATAGCTTGATCTTGGACCAGAAAAAATCAGTTCACTTGAGCTCAAAGTGTCAAGCACAAAGACAATAGCTATAGAAATAGGTATGATTCTGGACTCACTACAGCTGTTATTTTGAGAGGCATTCTAATTTACAAAGTTGATAGTGAAAAAGTACATGACTACACAAGTCTCAAGCACAGTTTGCAGTTTGTCACAAATTCTGTGTTTGTACATGACGCAGATGCACACTCAGGAGGTCAATTTAACTGCTACACTACATGCAAACACAAATTTTTGAAAGATCTAGGTTTTTTTAGGTCATTAAGAAGTCCTTTTCAGTTACCAGGGATCTATTTTCTCCTCTGTAGTCTCACCGTTACTGAAACATATTTAGCGCTTGACTTTTTTTGTTCTTTTTTCTTTCTTGGTTTTTTTTTTTTTTTTTTTTCAAAATCCTTATTGGAATTTTATGGTACTTTCAAGCAGGAAGAAAAAAACAAAACAAAACAAACCCACAAACAAGCCCTTCAGATGTCATTGACCATTTTAGATGTGCCACGTCCAACTTAAAAATACCATCAAAACCCATCACACTTTAAGTTCTTTTTGTCCACCATTTCATCAAACCTGATGAGAATGCAGCACACCAAAGAGACAGGATTTCTGCAAGCCAAAGATATTTGTAACTCGCCTTTTTCTTTTTGCCATCGTTAGCGTGGTTGTTGTTTTTGAGATCAGAAAGCCTCACAAACACCGAACAGTTTGTAAATCTCTCACGGTCATTTGCTGCACCAGAAAGCAAACGCTGACCAAAACATGTGCGCAAAGTCCCGAGCGGCGCGGCCACTCCGTGTGCGTCCTTACCAGTGAATGGCCCCTGTGAAAGCAAGCCAAACGCTGTAATGCTTCGTTAGAGACACTTGAGACTTTTTTTATGTACTACTTAATCGAAACCAAAGAAACGTTTTCTGCACCTACTTCTTCTGCAACAAACTGTTCCATTTAATGAATAAAAGGAGAAAAAAAAAAAAAAAAAAAAGCCAAACCCAAACTAACCAAGGAAGCACGTCAGGAAGCAAACAAGTGACACACTGTGTTTTGACAGACATGTGGGACATTTTAGGAAGCAGATTTCAAAGAAAGGGTTGACAAGAACAAAAACAAAGTAAAGCCGGTATGATTGCTGCTTCATTTGACAACTCAGTCATCTTAAAGTTGAAGATTGTCTTTAATTTGTGCCTATGCAGTTTTTTTTCAAAAGAACAAGGAACAGGGCAACCAAAACCTCAACAGCTACAATACCAAAGATGAGGATTCTCACAACTGTTATTTCAGTTCATTATCTCTTCTTGCACGACTAAGATGTGTATAGCACCATTGATCTGTGGAAAGGTAATCAATTCTGTTTCTTTGAGCAGCAAAATGGGTGAGTTCATTTATGTTTTTCCTGTGTCTACCCCACGTGGAATCTCTCTGGGAGTTGCACGGACTCCAAGTGTAAGATGTTGGGATACTAAACTGGGATGTATGAACAATGTTTTGGTTGGATATTGCTTGTTCTATCAGGTCTCTTGTATGTTTAGATCTTCTGTATGTGAAACCAGTTGAATAGCCTATGCCTCCTTTCTCATACCCAGGGATAAAACTTGCAATGTATGTACCAAATTATTTACTTCTAAGTACTGAGCAGTGTTACAGCCCAGCTCATTATGATCAGAATCTACTCTGATTTGTAATTGAGGTTTCAGCAGTTCACATGGCAATTTGGTAATTTGTCCAGATGTGTTCTGTTCCTTGGTCAAAGTCACAGTGATCCAAATCATGACATGCAGACCTAGATCCAAATTTGGATGCAGAGCGATGGCCCATGTGTCATTCTGCTCCATCCCAACATTTAAATGAAACCTTGCTAACTTCTGTGGAAAACTGCAACAATTTATATTGAAATAAAATAAAATAAAAAATTTAAAAGCCTTGTCTGCCCAGGACAGGAGGGTTTTCTGAAAAGTAAATTCAGGATATTCACAGCAACCAAGCTGACAACACGTCCTAGCTCTGGAAATCAAAACTTCTCCAAAACTGGATTTCCCATTCTGATCAAACATGGTTACAAACTGATCCAAGGAGCCTCTTAATTAGCCATGCTGTGAAGCTGAAGCAAACAATTCAGGTCTGGGTGCTGTGCACTGATGCTGCTGGGTGCTGAGATGCTTGTATTCCGCATTCACCTTTGCTCACATCTAAGGGGCTCCATGCATACCAGCCTCTACATGCACATTCTGAGTGTGGCATTGACCTCAAGGGAAATTTCTCTTTCTGGAAGTGTTCTAGTGCATTTCATAGCAGTGCTATGCAGTGCTGTTTCTGAGGTTACTTTTCTCATTCCATCCCATAATGCCTTTGTAACTACACAAAGAGTGGATGCAACATTGGTAGAAAACCAGAACACCATTTTCTACCTTCCTTTACCTCACTGCAATCACAAGGCAGAAAAGTGTGTTTCCAACCAGAGAGGAGCATATCAGTAGCAGTTGGTGTCCCTACCATGAACAAAAAAACCTGCTGGTCACCTCCAGTGAGGGGCATGCACAGGCTGAGAGTGCATCCCATACACTGCAAAGGCAAAAAGGAGCATACCTCTTGGAGTTTATGAGCAAAAACCTTTTTATGTCTGTTCAGAGTTCATCCAACAGCTTTGATAAAGTGCAGATCAAATAGCACTTATAAAATAGTGTGTCTTCAATGAAATAATTAATTTTACCCAAATTGTGGAAGTCCTTGTTATGCAATTCAATGGCTTAAATTCTTGCCTTGATCTTTCAAATGTTGATACTGGAAACAACATAGGTAAACTGATGGAGTGGCACTGAGGACGAAATCATTGTCCATTCAAGAGTATTTGGTTAGCAGAACATGTGAGCCTTCTCTGTGCTGGTGATTGAAAGTGTAACAGTGCCCATTTTTCCCTCAGACTTGTCAAAATTCACTTCCATCTGAAAATACTGCTGCATTTTTTATCCCTGCTTCTTTCATGGTCCTATGTTACGTCTTCCATTTCACCCTCAACTACTGCAGGCTTCTATGTAGCAGCTGACTCAGAATAGGAGTGTCGATAGCATATACTGTGGGTAGATATATTTGTATGTACACACATGAACAAAATATAGAGTATATATTTACTCTATATATGTATACACTGCTATGTATACCGTAATATACGCTATATTCTGTTCATACTAAAAAACCTCAAATAGATATGTTATGTTTATATACCAGATATTTATAGGTCTGTATAGCTGTGTAATGTAACTTGTTCCTTTTATGTATTCTAATATGAGAGACTTCTATCTATGGACAGTATCCCAGCATCCTCCTTGTCGTGCGCTTGGAGTTACGATCATGGGCACATCCAAGATGAATTCAACTTTCAAGAAACCTTGGATATTGTTAAATCACCTGTGAAGGAACAAAGAATGTGCTTGATTACGTCGGTTGAATAGCTTTATTTCGGATCTCTCTTAACGAAAGCTAAATCCAAAGACCTGTGAAGAATTCAACCAGCAAACTACTCTCAATCCTGCATAAGGGAATAAGGTCCGCCTCTTCCAAAACAAGACATGGTATTGACATGGTATTGGAAAGAGTGTGCTAGCTTTGGAAAACAAAACAAAACAATGCTTTTCTTGCTTGTCATGATACCTGTGGATTTTTAAGACATGGGGAAAGCTTATACTTGGCCTCCTTTGAAGTTATTAAGGGGATTTTTTTTTTCTTTTTCTTTAAATGGAAAGCTTAAGATGGTTTTATTTTTTCCTGACAGTTGTAGCTTTTAAGCTAATGTATTATCTATCAATGTTGTAATTTAATTAATTAAGTCTTAGAGTAGGTAGAAATATCTGTTCAGTCCAAATCCTACCTATTTTCAGTTTATCTTTAAAGTTCAGTGGGAGTTTTGCCTGAAAACAGGATCAGGGTCAGGTGTTAGCTGTTTGTGAGTACTTAATTCAGTGATTTGTGAATTTGGGTTGATTTTCCTTATTTATTCATTTTACTGTTGTAGTGCATCGGAGATGCCAGCCTGTGTTAGTAGATACGCTTAAAAGTTAGCTTAGCTTCTTTAAGCAGCCAAGTTCTGTTACAGGCAGGAGGAAAATTACGAGTTACATAAAACATGAGCCTAATTTTAGATTCTTCCTTTAATTGATTTTAATAGTCAAATATAAAAATTTAAATTATTTAAGTTAATCTCTTCTCATCTGATTAGAAAGTGTGATGTACCTTTATTATGGCACACAAAGTCTTCATAATATAATTTATTTATTTAACTTATTCATCATCATCCCAGGATGCCCTTGTAGAGTTTTGTTTTTTGGGTTTTTTTTTTCTTTCTTTTTTTTTTTTTAATTACTTTTAAAGCACTACAGATAATTTCCTGTCCAAAAACAGAGCAAATTTTGAGGACAAGCAATGAATATTCAACCTAAAACCGTGCATTCAGAAACAACAGGAAAAAGAGACACTGAGATACTTTGCCTGAACTTTGTGGCTTCTTTAAACTTAAGCTGGGGGAAAAATAATACATGCCAAGCAAAAAGAGAGAAACCCTTAACCTAGCTGCTTCCAAGAATGAACTTCTGTGTGTGTAAAAAAGAGAAAAAAGAAAAAAAAAGGAAAAAAAGAAAAAAAGAAAAAACCTTTCTATTTCTAGTGAGAACCAAAGAGGCTACCTCACTGACTTTTTCCATTTGTAATTTTAATCGTGTTGATGATACCAAAGATACCAAAGATTTCTTTCTCTGTGCGGTCTGCATTTTGCTTGTGCTCTTTTATAGTTTTAACTTTTTCTCTCCTACTTACAGTAATGTACAGCTGCAACTTAGATACCCCAAAGAAATACTTCTGGTGGAAGCTGCTAATTCTGAAGACAGCATTTTCTTTGTTTTCCTTATGCCCTTCTGACAGGCAAAAAAGTCCAAGACCATCACCCCCTGCACCCCACCAGAGCCCAGTGGCTGGAGCACTTGTGTTGAGCCAGGGGTGGGTCTGGGTGGCATTTCCAGCCCAGCCCTTGGTGAAAGGCTGCAGGCTGCTGCGTGGATAAAGGGGTGGGATTCCTCTACTGAGTTCCAGACAGAGAAAATAAGCATCAAGTCCCGTGCTCCAACAAAGCCTGGGCACAGGGAAGAAAAGGTCTTGTCAGTCTTTGACAGTCTGTAGTTTTCAGCAGCAGGCAAGGGGCACAATGAGGGAAAGGGTTCATGCAGCTGTGGTGGGGCAGAGCCCATCACCCTGTGTCACCCCATGTCACCCTGTGTCACCTTGTGTCACCCCATGTATCCCCATGTCAGCCCCTGTCCCCTCATATCACACCATATTGGGATCTATCATGGAGATGGAGGGTGAACCTCGTGAGCCCTCTTTTCTTGACATGTTTCTTGTGTGTCCATACTCCCTCTTGAGAGCTGACTGAGTTAACCAAGCTTGTAAAGAAATGCTTAAATTCTTTTAAAGTCATTAAGTATTTGCTGAAGTCTTTTGCTGGATCAGGTTGTACAAGGAGTGTGGTATCACCCCACTTTATGCCTTGCATCCGCTCTTCTAGCGAGCATTGTGTATGTCCTTCACTCGACCTGGAACACATTTTTGCCACGCTTAAACCATTGTTTTTTACATAATGCAGTGTGGCTCTTTGCCAGACTGAACCAGTATTTCAAAGAAACTAACACATAAATGCAGCATAAATGAAAATCCCATTTTCAACAGGACAAATTGATTTCTCCACTTTTCAAGAAGCTATCAAGACGATATGTCTCCGTTCACCACATGGTGCCCTCATGTCACCCCGTGTCACCCCACATCACCCCATGTCATCCTGTGTCACTCTGCCTGGCCACTGGGGGAATGACGCCTGCCAGGTATGGACCACTCTGATTCCACTCCAGGGCAGCTGCACCCCAGGCTCAGCATTGGGCTTTTAGGTCCCTGCAGGCAAGGGACGTGGCAGCGGCTGCTCAATCCTGATATTTCTTTGTTGTTGTTACAATTTCCATATGAAAATCAAGTAATTATTTTTCTCAAGTCAGCCACGAAACAAGTCTCATGAAGCTCTATCCGTATCCTGTTCCTAGATGATTACTTACAATTGGCTGCTTGAGGAATGAATGTTGCCCATTCCTTTTTGTTCCTTGTATCCTGTTCATGGGGTTGCAAGCAGCGCCCTGGGGAGCCAGGCCCACCTCATGCAGCCCCCGCCACTTCCTGCTGCTAGCAGTGCCCACATCCCACTGAGAGCCAGAGGAAGGGCTGCAGATGGGGTGGGGAGTGGAACCCCTTGCCCAGCTCTCAGACTGGGCCCTGCTCTGAGGTGCGAGCATGCCACATTAGGCTGCAGTGGGCGGCACTAGGCTGCACTAGACCGCACTAGGCCATGCTAGGCCACAGTAGGCTGCAGTAGGCCACACTAGGTTACACCAGGCTGCACTAGGCTGCAGTGGGTTGCAGTAGGCCACACTAGGCCGTTCTAGGCCGCAGGGGATCTGGCCTCCCACTGTGGATCCACAGCAACAAGGTGCCAATGGCTCAACACAAGCTCCACTTTCATTAAATGTTGACTTTTATTTTGTATTTCAAGACCTTCAAGTCTATGGGAAAATAGAGGGACTTGTCAAGTGTGCTTTTTATATCTCTGTGTATTCCTTCAGTAGAAAGTTATAACAGTTCTCAGGATGCCTTCCCAGCGCAGAGGAGCCACTGGTCCCGTGTGAGGTGACCCCTCCACGCAGTGCCCTCTTGCCATGCCCTGTACAGAAGGGTTGGGGATCGGATGGACATAGAAGATGCTCAGAGTTGGCAGGTTCCTCTTAACAGTAACTGCTTTTCTTACCAGACACATGCTTTACTTGGAAAGTGTAACATTACCACGGGACGAGTGCCTTGCTTGAACCAAAGCAACGATTTTGCCAGTCTAGACCTCTCTGTGCTTTTTTTTTTTATTCTTCCTGTGAATACCTCAGCTTCAACTGGGCCGCCATATTGTACCTGGTGGGCTTATTGTACTGTGGTGCTTTGCAATGCAACTCTGCAAAGAACAACTTGTGATAATACCAAAGGCTCTCCTCTCCTCTCCTCTCCTCTCCTCTCCTCTCCTCTCCT